AGGGGAAAGACACAACCAAACCCTCGACCCATAGTTAGCAACTGGTCAGGGCCACTCCACTGGCCTGTTAAGGGGTCTTTCCACCACACTTGGACTTCTGGGTGCAGTGGTTGAGCTGACCAGAGTTTCTGGAAGGCAGACAGGGGTTCTTTTTTGGAAAAATTTAGGATGCTTAAAGTTAGGAGTGCCTGTCCCAACTGCTGATGAGGGCTGGCGACTCCCCCTTTTTGTTTTAATAATTGATTTTTTAGGCATTGATGATGCCGTTGGCTTGTCTTTGAAGGCAGAGACCCATTTATTGTTGCCATAGTGGCTAAGGACTGTTCGATCCGCCCCTGTGTCAACAAGGCATTGAAACTCTTTGCCTTGAATTTTAATATTCATTTCTGGTCTTAAACCAGGAACTATAGGTATAGTCCAATGAGCCTGGGGTACTGGCCGCCTGGTAGGGCATGGAGGCGCTGGCTTTGTATCCCCTTGTGGTGATGGGGCTGGGGATTGCCCCTCCTCTAGTTTAGACCGGCACTCACGCTTCCAATGAAGCTCCTGACTGCACCTAGGGCACGGCGTAGAGGGAAGGTTTTTATTTTCCTGGTTGGGACAGTCCCTTCTGAAATGACCTTGTTCCCCACAGCCATAACATTGACCCCTATGGGAGGGTTGGCTGGGGCTCTCCTTAGGGATCCTGACACTAAGAGCCTGGGTCATAGCACCTGCAAGGTTTCTGCTTGAGCTTGTAAAGTGGAAGTTAAGGCCCTTGTTTGTTGTTGGTAGCTTCCAACGCCTACTGGCATTGACCCACTTTTCCATAGAACGATCTTTGAGCTCGGCACAGGTAAGTTTGTGGTCGGCAGTCATGCCATCCCACACTAGTATTTTTACAAACTGGTCCCAGAGAGGACCTGGGGGAAACTTTCTCTGTATGCTCTGTTCCACCCGAACTATGAAAGAGGGCAGGTCCTCGGAGGGTCGCTGGGTGACCCCAGCCATTGCGGGCTTACTGGGCCCTTCAGCCAACTTTTTCCGTGTGGCTAATGCTGTTGCCCTAACCTGGTCCTGGTAGGGGGCTGGGATAGCAGCCTGTTGGATTCCAGTACTAAATTGATTTGGTACAGACAGCATGCCGAAGCTGATAGGGATGGGTGGGTTGGCTGCTTGATTTATCTCTGCTTACACATGGCACTCTTCTTCAAAGAAGGCGCAGAACTTGATAAACAAGTTTGGGGGGAGGACAGCCTTACAGAGCATTTTCCAATCTTGGGTTGTGAAAGGTTGGTGCGCTAAGCCCGGGAGGATGGTTTCTGCCCGTGGGGAATTGGGCCCATCCTCTGCGACAGCCTTTTTCAGCTCTTTAAGGTCATGAGCTTCCCAAGGGTACCAAGCAGCCGACCTATTTCCAACAGGGGCTTTGTCAAATTCGGACCTACAGTCCTTTTTTTCAATGTAATCCTTTTTTACATCGGGGGCAAGGTGTGGTAGGGGGTTTTTTGCCTTTAGTCTTGGGACATTGGCTTTTTTTTTTTTTTTTTTTTTTTGTCTTTTTCGTGACCGGTAAGGGGATCACAACCCTTGGTGTGGTGTCGCCCGTACCGCGCTCAGCCAGTGAGCACACTGGCCATTCCTATATAGGATCCGAACCCGCGGCGGGAGCGTCACTCCACTCCCAGTGCCGCACTCTCCTGATTGCACCACAGGGTAAGCCTGGGACATTGGCTTTTAAAATGACCTTGTCTTGTGCAACCAAAACATTATCCCTTGAAGGGTGGGGAAGTATTGTTTCCTGAGGGGATCAGGGCAGTAAATGCCTTGAAGGGTTCGGTTAAGTTTTGTGTCTGAGCCTGCAAGGCTGAGGATAAAGTCCTGGCCTCGGCAACAGCCATTTTTAGTTCTTTCACAACATTGACCGGATAGGCCTGAGGGGCCACTTCCCCCCATGTGCTGCAGATGTCTGGGGGTTCCCAGCGAGCCATAACAGGAAAATCCTGCAGCTCTGCCGGGAGTGTTTTTAAAGGTGGGTTAGCCTCCTCCACCCAGGTGCTACTTTCTCTCCTTTGGCTAAACTTTGGCGGGGTGAGTATGCCGGGAGAGGAGGGTACAGGGTAGGGGCATAGGTATCACTCAATGGCTCAGGGCCTTGCATTGACAGATTTGTTTCCTTTTTTCTCTCCTCATCGAACTGCGCCCAATCCCTTTCTGCCCCTTCCTGATGCTCGGTATGGAAGCAAAGCTTTAGGGCAGAGATGGTTAGGTAGAACCCTAAGGGGGAGTCTAGCCCATGACTAATCTCGTTCTTTCTGGCCAGGGTCTGAACCCAGTCCCAAGTCTCATGAGAACAAGTCAGACGAAGGTGCCCAAGGGGCCACCTTCGCCACATGATGCCAGGCATTGGTGACCGTGGAGTCAGATATTTCTAGGCCTCTGCTTTTTAACATGTACTTTAGAGCTTTGCAGACTGTCTCATCACTCTTTCCATGCACACCTCCCATGTTGCCCCGTGAGGACGGGACAAAGGGAGCAACAGGGCAGAGAAGTGCAGGGCTTTCCCTCTGTTATAGTACTCACCCTGACATGCAGGAGGATTACTTCATGGCGACTACTGCAGTTGCGGGGGCCACTCCGCTGGTTGATCACCCTTCGCCAACCTTCTTTCAGGACTGAGCAGCCAGGGGCCTCACTCGCTTGCCTTTTACCCACGAGTTTTAAAAAACTCCTCACATGGGGCACCACTCTGTCGGGTCCACTGCCGACCGACCCGAACAACTCTAGCCCTTGGCGGACAAGTGAATTGCCTGGATTCCTCTTTCCCTCCGGTCCCCTTTGGAAGGAGATGGGGGAAGAGAGCCGTGTAGAGAGGTGAGCACACCGCCGGCCCCAACCAGCCCAATAAAGGACACTCAGATGTGGCGGGGGTTCTGTCGAGCAGTTCCGTTTATTATCACACAAGCACTTGCTTTTAAAGGCAAATGGGGAAGGGAGGTTTTTACAACCTCCAGTCAGCTTAAAGGTTACGAGAGCATGCATCCTGTCTCAATGCCTAGCTATTGCAATCACGCAATGTTCACGAGCACAGAAGTGCGTATTTGGCCAATAAGGGCTAAGGCAAGGTTCCTGCAGACACTCCCACCCTACTTCCTCCCAGCGCCGTCTTAGGCTGCCATGTTAATATGCCCTTGTGGGCCCATAATGGTGCGGCTTGTAATGTCACATAAGGTAGCGTTAGTTTTTAAGGCCCGACATGATTTAATGCCACTCTTCCTTTCTTCCCCTCTATCCTGCGTTTAAAGATAAAGGGTTTCTGCAGAGTCTATACTTCTTTTTTTTACTCTCTCTCTTTTTTTTTTTTTTTGTCTTTTTGTCTTTTTTCGTGTCTGGCAACGGATCGCAATCCTCAGTGTCGTGCCCGTACCGGACCGCGACCGGCAACGGGATCGCAACCCTCGGTCCTGCGCCCGCACCTCGCTCAGCCAGTGAGCGGGAACCAGTCTGTATGTGGAATCCGAACCCTCGGCGGGAGCGCCACCGCGCTCACAAGCGGCGCACTGTAGCATTGCGCTACCGGGCCGGCCCCTTTTTTTAACTTTCAACCTCAGGTTTATTCACTCTGATGTCTTCAGATAACATGGAAATTTTGATACTTTTCAAATCTTTACTGTCAGCTTAACTTTCTTGAATGTTGGGATCATATACCAAATTGCCACTTGGACATTTCCACAGATATTTCAAGTATTATGTATTCAAGTCTGTTTCACTTTTGCTCTTTATGTTTTTCTCCCATTTTTCTTTCTTTTTTTTTTTTTGTCCTTTTTGAGACCAGCTGCACCATGCTCAGCCAGTGAGTGCTGTGAGCGAACCGGTCATCCCTATATAGGATCCGAACCTGCAGCTTTTGCAGTTCCAGGGCCTAACTAGCTGTGCTTATGTAGATAGCCTGAGAGTAAAACTCTTCTTTTTAATTTCTGCACAGCAAATTACTACCACATTGTTTCTGCTTTTTCATTCCCCATTTCCTTTTTTATAGTGCTAAGTCTCCCTTCTGTGTGCTTATTTCTCTATGTTGTAATGTAGTTGGTTTTCTGTCACAGTTTTCTTTTTCCCTCTGACTCTCCCTAAAATCCTATTCCATTCTCCTTGTAGTGGATGACTATGAAAATACAAATAAAGTTATGTACTTACAAGACCACATTATTTGCTCCCTGTTGTTTAGAAAGTGGCAGTACACCCTGGTACAGACACAAGCAATCCTTTGGCACATAGGAAGGAAATCTTGGAATGCCTTTTTTATGTACTTTTAATTGATAAATAGTTAAAAAACAACGATGACTACACAAAATGTTTTACTCTTTGAAATAGGTCCCATATTTAAGTGCAGAATCATTCTATAATCAGTGGCTTCAATATTGTTTTTTTCCCTTATGTGACCCAAGATCATTCACTCAGACATGTTGCTGTGTGTGTAGTTTCATTAATGTGGGGTGGGTTCTTTGTGTTCCTGTGACTGGACTTTTGCTGTTGCCTCATATTCATGAGACCATGCAGTTCACATGGATCAGTTTAACATCTTTGTCATTTCAGTGAAGTCCAAACTGAATACAAAATAAAACTATATTTTCTATTTGTTTCTAATGCTAGTCTATATTGAACTTGTGTTTAAATTTTCTCATCTAACACAGTATTTCAGGTATGTATTTATACTTATGTCTCCATGCCTGTTTATACTCTTTGGAAAAGAAAAATTTTATTCACACTTTTATCACTAGCAATAAGGATATTTCTTAAGGTATAAACTAAGTTTTGTAATATAATTTTATTTACTGATAACTTATTACACTACCAGTATATTTGTACTTTGATTTTTCTTCCTTCCACTCTATGGAGTACAACAAAGTGGCATCTTATATAAGACACATATGACACATGCACACACACAGGTGTGAACTCCCAGATTTCTGTTTTGTGACCCAGAAATGTTGACTTGAGTTGAGAACAATGTGTTATTCCAGGAGTTGGTATCATTTGAGGATGTGACTGTGGACTTCACCTGGGAGGAGTGGCAGGACCTGAATGATGCTCAGAGGACTTTGTATAGGGATGTGATGCTGGAGACCTACAGTAACCTGGTGTCCCTGCGTGAGTAAAACTTCCCAGTAACGTTCAAGAGAAACAGTTTCTTTTTTGTTCATAAATATAGGAACCATTTATAGGATTTCATGGTATTTTGGTAAGATTACATTTTTTGAAAACATGCTCTCTCTCACAAGGTTCAAATTTGTCTCTTTATTGCACAACATCTGAAGCTGAGCTCTTGCCATTCTTCCAAGGATCAGACTTAGCAGTTGTACAAAGTCCTACATTTCTTCGCATTAACAAAACATTGCATTAACAAAGCTGAGGTGATTGTCAAGTTAGAAGGAGCAGAGCCATGGACAGTAGAAGAATGCCCAGACCAGATCCTGCAAGATTTGTTAGCACATACAGTGCAGAAGCCAAGAAAAGTAAAGCTCATTAGATGTTGGAAGTGTTCAGCTGTTTCTAGCAATTTTCCCCCAAGTCACAGATTTGAGGATGGCTCATCTGCAATCCTGTAATCTCCAAGGTGGGGTGTCCCATGTACATCCCAATATTTTATTTGGCTGGATCTGTTTTGTATGTATCCCAAATCTAATTCCTACATTTCCCTTCTTTGACAATTTTTTTTCTACTTGCTTTCTTAACACTTTCAGTTCTGCTTGTTCTTCAATTCTCAGGTAATTTTTTGTCATACTGTATCTGTTTGTTTTCTGTCGTTTCTGACAGAGTACCTGCAACTGGGTAATTTATAAATAAATTGTTTTTACAAGTGTATTGTGGAGGCTCAGCATTTCAAATTCAAGGGGTTGCATCTGCTGAGGGCCTTTGTTCTGGTGGGGACTCCTCACTGAACCCCAAAGTAGTGCAGGGTATCCCATAGCAATTCAGTAAGAAAATATGGAGAGACACAGCAGTAAGCCTTGTACCACCACATCAAAAATCAGGAAGCTGAGGGGAAACCTGCATGGGAGAATGGAAAAGGGTGGTCCTTGACTTTGAAGGAAAACCAGAAGATTCTGGGTGGTAAGACCATGTGAACTAAGGGTTCCATGTTGTTGGGATAAGATTGTTGATTGCGAGTAGATTTCAAGGTTAGCATTTTTTTTGTTTGTGGAAATCATTCAGAAAAAAAAACAAAATGAGAAATGTGCAGGGCAGTCATTTTATGAGAATAGAATACCAGGAAAACTTCATTGCACTAAAGCTTTCACAAGAAATGAATTATCAAGTGGTGGTTCATGTACCAGAAATTGGGAATAGGATACAAGTTGATTTGAGAAGCACTCAACAGAACATATTTCAAAGATGGTGGGAACAGCCCTGGATGCAGAACTGAATATTAGGACAGAAGTGGGTGTCTAGGATGGAGAACTGATGTTTCCTTTATTGCAATGGTTTATGAGAAGGAGAGGAAGTCACGTTAAATGAAAAACTTGGAGGAAGCTGTCTTTATGGTGGAGAAAATAATATTTTATTCTTTGGAAAACTTCCACATTCCTATACCCATTTTCTAAAGGAGTGTAAAACACAAACATAAATGCAAAATCCTAGTCCTCGGCCATGTTCCTGCGTTTGATAAAAAAATTGGCTCACTTCCATACCTGAAAGTAGGTGATGATGGAAAATCTATCCATCTTCATTGTGAAATAATGAGAAAATAGCAGCAGGATACACCCATCATTGTAAAAATGAAACAGAAAATGGTGTAAAGAAATGAAAGGTGCTTAGTTGAAATCTACAAGGAGGCAGAAAAGTTTTTAACAAGTACTTACTCGTAAGTTAAAATTTAAAAATGAACAAATGAAAACATGATATAACAGAAAATATATTAGTACAATATTACCTTGTCAGTAAGAAAAAACTCCAAAAACTCATGAAACCAATATCCATTATTGATTTTTTTAATAAAATATTTTGTTAACTATGATTGGAAGGCACTTCTGTACCTTTACTTGAGCAATCAATGAGATGTGCTCATGTGTGGTTCATTATGTTATTTTTTTCCATTTCAGATGTCCTGATAGGTGATGACCTCATGGAGAGGAACCAAGAAAGTCATGGTAGATGCTTGCAGCAAATTGTAATCACCAATAGCAGCACATCAGCTGAGGAGAGTGTTGTATTAGGCAAATCATTTTATTTGAATTCATGTCATGTTTTAAATCTGATTATAAATAACGGAAAGTATTCAGAAAAGGGAAATGAGGAGTTTTACATATGTCAGAATACACTTCTTCATAGAGAACCTGATGAGATGCCTGCTGGAGAGAAACCTGAGGACCATCATATAACTGGAAAATTGCCCAGACATTGTGAGCCTCTTAGTCAGCATCACAATATTCAAACTTGGAAGCAGCTTTCAGAATACAGTGGAAAAGCAAAATCCTCCAACACAGAGCCAATATTTAAGCATAAAAAGATTCACATGGATGAGAACACCTATAAGTATAGTGAATATGGGAAAGGCTATGGTAAGTCAGCTGTCATTGTCCAGGAAATAAGTCAGGTAGAAAGGAAAACTTTTCCATGTGGTATATGTGGGAAAATGTTCTATAGAAAGCCTGAACTCACTAAACATCAGATTATGCACACGGGAGAGAAACACTATAAATATACTGAATCTGGGAAGTCTTTTATTAAGAAATTATACCTTACCTCACATCAGAGAACACCTACAAAGGAGAGCCTTTATGGTTGTAATGAAAATGAGAAAATTTTTTGTCAGAAGGCAGACCTTACAATGCACCAGGGAACTCAAACAGGAGAAATGTACTATGGAAGTATTAACTGTGGAAAAAGCTTCTGTAAGAATCCAGTCCTCAGCCATCCTGATAGAATTCACACAGGTGAAATAGCAGATGGATGTAATGACTGTACAAAATTTTTCTACCATGAGTCTGCTCTCACTGTGTATCAGAGAGTTCACCCCAATGAGAAACCATGTAAAGAATATAAAAAAGCATTTTACAGTAATAAATGTGGTAAAACCTTTCTCCAAAAGTCACACTGTAGCAGTCATCAGAGAATTCACACAGGTGAGAAACCACACGAATGTTGGGAATGTGGAAAAACTTTTAACCAAGAGTCAAGCCTCAGTATTCAACCCAGAACTCACACAGGTGAGAATCCGTATGAATGTAGAGAAAGTGGAAAAGCTTTTAACCAAAACTCAGATTTCAGCTTGCATGAGAGAATTCACACATGTGACAAACCATATGAATGTAGAGAATGTGGAAAGACTTTTAAGCGAAAGTCACACCTCAGCCGGCATCAGAAAATTCATACAGGTGAGAAACCTTATGAGTGTAAAGAATGTGGAAAAGCTTTTAACCACAAGTTACGGCTCAGTATTCATCAAAGAATTCACACATGTGACAAACCATATGAATGTAGAGAATGTGGAAAAGCTTTTAACCGAAAGTCACACCTCAGCAGGCATGAGAGAATTCACACAGGGGAGAAACCATATGAATGTAGAGAATGTGGAAAGACTTTGAAGCGAAAGTCACAGCTCAGCATTCATCAGAGAATTCACACAGGTGAGAAACCATATGAATGTAGAGAATGTGGAAAAACTTTTAACCAAAAGTCACAGCTCAGCATTCATCAGAGAACTCACACAGGTGAGAAACCATATGAATGTAGAGAATGTGGAAAAACTTTTAACCAAAAGTCACAGCTCAGCATTCATCAGAGAACTCACACAGGTGAGAAACCATATGAATGTAGAGATTGTGGAAAAACTTTTAACCAAAAGTCACACCTCATCACTCATCAGAGAACTCACACAGGTGAGAAACCATATGAATGTAGAGAATGTGGAAAAACTTTTAACCACAAGTCAGACCTCAGCAGGCATGAGATAACTCATACAGGTGAGAAACCATATGAATGTAAAGAATGTGGAAAAGCTTTTAACCGAAAGTCACAGCTCAACATTCATCAGAGAAGTCACACAGGTGAGAAACCATATGAATGTAAAGACTGTGGAAAAGCTTTTAACCGAAAGTCACACCTCAGCAGGCATGAGAGAAGTCACACAGGTGAGAAACCATACGAATGTAGAGAATGTAGAAAGGCCTTTAGCCTAAAGTCATACCTCAGCATTCATCAGAGAATTCACACAGGTGAGAAACCATATGAATGTAGAGAATGTGGAAAAACTTTTAACCAAAATTCAAAGCTCACGATTCATCAGAGAATTCACACCGGTGAGAAACCATATGAATGTAAAGACTGTGGAAAAGCTTTTAGCCTAAAGTCATACCTCAGTATTCATCAGAGAATTCACACAGGTGAGAAACCATATGAATGTAGAGAATGTAGAAAGACTTTTAAGCGAAAGTCACAGCTCAGCAGGCATCTGAGAAGTCACACAGGTGAGAAAGCATATGAATGTAGAGAATGTGGAAAGACTTTTACCCGAAAGCCACACCTCAGCAGGCATCAGAAAATTCACACAGGTGAGAATCCATATGAATGTAAAGAAAGCAGGAAAGCTTTTAAGCAAAATTTAAGTGGCTATGAGAGGATTCACACATGTGAGAAACTGTATGAATGTAGAGAATGTGGAAAAACTTAACCAAAAGTCACACCTCAACAGGCATCAGAGAAGTCATACAGGTGAGAAACCATAAATGCAAAGGATGGAAAAGCTTTTAACCACAAGTCATACCTCAGCTGGCACCAGAAAATTCACAGAGATGAGAAACCATATGAATGTAAAGACTGGAAAAGCTTTTAACCACAAGGCACACCTCAGCGGGCATCAGAGAATTCACACAGGTGAAAAACCATGTGAATGTTGAGAATGTGGAAAAGCTTTCAGCAAAGTCATACTTTAGCATTCATCAGAGAACTCACACAGGTGAATAACCATATATAACTGCAAAGGATATGGAAAAGCTTTTAACCAAAAGTCACTTCAGTGGCCATCAAAGAATTCACATAGGTGGGAAACCATGTGAATGTAAGGTATGTGGGAAAACTTTGCTGGAACTCACCATAATAGACATGAACAAATTCACACATGGGAAAAATTCCTATTAACGTAATGACTATGGGAGAAGGTTTTTGCCATAAATCACATCACATTTCATCAGAACTCACACCAAGAAGTAGCCCTATAAATGCACAACTGTCCCTTGGTATCGGAGGGTGGTTCCTGGAGCACCTGTTGATGAAAACACTTAGAAATGATGAAGCCCCTTCTATACATTGTGTACTGTTTCAATTTTACCTATGAACTTTTTTCTGTGTTCTTCACATCTTGAGTAGAATATCTATATTATTGAATAGAGAAGAATTCCTTGTAAATAATTGTTATACCATGTTGTTTTTTATTTGTGTTATTGCTTTTTTTCTTTTCGTTTTTATAAGTGGTCGAATCAGCAGATGTGCAACCCTTAGATGTAGAAGGGAGTCAATAATTGTGAAAACATCGTTTTTCAGCAGTTATAGGGCTGGCTATAGTTAGTATATTGTTGGTTAGACCATGGTGCTGATAACACCATGGGTCCCTGTACTGGCCAGCCACTGGGGGGGAAAAAGAAAATAAAATGAACTCACACTGCAGCAGGCATGAGATAATTTACACAGGGGGGGGAGTTCTGCATGGATTAGACTGGGTATGTTCTAAAAATGCTATTTTTCTCTTGTACATATGCCTACAATCTCAGCCTTTAATTATTGTTTGTGGAACCGTGTAATGTAGCTGTGTTCAGGGGAGTATGGATACAGGTGATAAACATTACTTTCAGGCCAGACAATAAAAAAAGTACACAATTGTTCCTGATTTCTCATTCTTTGGGACTGAAGGGCAGATGAACTCCTAGGGTAGAGTCAGGGGCCATAGGTGGGAGAAATTCACCGTAATGTAAGACAGACTGAATTGAAGAAACTGTAGGTCTTCAACTCTGTCCCCAAATTCTTTATTCACACTTATGTAAGAAATGCTTATTATAGATTCCCATATCATTTGTGATCTCTTTGTGTTATGACACAAGTAGCCCACAGGGCTGACTTTATGAACTTTCTGAGAGAAGTTACCTGTTCTTGAATATGAGAATATTCACATGGAAGGGAAACCTGTATTTGTCACCTTTTACACCCAAGTCTGCTTATGGGAAAATTCAATTAATGGGGAGAAACCATGCAATACATATGGAACACCTTACCAGGTGGGGACTTATTGAATAGTGACAATAAGTTTATCTTCATCAATATCTTTAATGTGTCAAATCTTTCAACATAACTTATGCCTATAAATCAGATAATTTGAAATGAAAATTATCAATTTATGTAATGTGAATGCAAATTTTCTAATAGAATTAATAAATGTAGGACCAAAACTATTTTAAAAGTTTTGACTAACTGCAGTTAAATATGAGTGGTGATATTGCCTGCCAGTGGATATATGGTTATGTCTGAAGATGTTTTTGTTGTCATAACTAGAAGTTAAAAGGTCTAGTGGAAAGAGGCCAGAGATGTTGCTACACAACCTATAATGCAGAAAACAGCCCCAAGTATGCTGCATTTATGCGTATAATCATGTGATAAAAATTTACTTTGGTAGAAGCCAGGACAACTACAGATAGGAAATACTTATACAGAGGATAATAGTGTGACTTACATCAGAGTTTTTTTTATTAGCCTATTCATTGTTATAAACCATACTTATTCTTTATGCCCCTTATCCAATCTCTACCCTTCCACTTCCTCTCCCCCTTCTAGTCACCATAGATTTGTTCTCTCCATCTGATAGATTAAATGATCCTCTGTTGGTTTGTTGCATAGATGATCTGTCCAGTACTGAGACAGATGTGATCAAGTCCTCCCATTATCATAAATCAGATGCTTCTTTTACTCTGTAGTGTGCTTTGTGGAGAGTGTTGTTTTTTGTCTCCACTGGTGCCTCTCCTTGTGTCAGTGCAGTTGGGAGTCTGGTGTATCATGCACAGTGGCTGTGACTGCTGCTGTAGAGCGTAGCTGCTTTTGCAGTAGCCATGGCAGTTGTGGCTATATGGGCTACCTGAATGAAAATGGTGTTTTGGGTATGCTCTTTACCTGGTTGTGGCTGGGTTCAGGTTCCCCTCACTTCATGCCTTAGTATCCTGGTGTGGCCCAGGGTGGTGGTGGTGGCTTTCCTAGTTCTGGCTTGGTTCAGCTTTCCCAAGCTCCAGGTCTCTGGACACTGGTAGGGCCCAGACAGTGGCAGCTGCTTGCCTAGTTTTGGCTGTATTCAGCTTTCCTTGGCTCCATGCCTCCTTCTAAGATCTTGTGGAGCAGTTGGGGAGGAGAAGTGGGAGGGGAAATAGGGTTTGAAGATGGGGAATGAGGTGGAGCATGATTAAAACCTGTGCCCTCATTCCTCCAAGGGCCCATGGTGCTTCCTGCAGTGGCTTGTTTGGATGCAGATGGTGGGGGTGTGTGGCTGGGGCCCTTGGCCCCTCAATGCCCTGGCTCAGTGGCCCAGGGTGCTTCCTGTGGAGACTAAGTGGTTATCTCTGGGCTAGTTCTGGATGTTGGGTGTGTATGGCTGAGGCCCTTGGCCCTCCCACTTCCCTGGCTTTTGAGCCCAGGGGCTTCCAGCCCTTCTAGGTTTTATAGGTGTTCTTTGGTGGTGTTAAGACCGTTACTCATAAAGATCAAACTTTGTCTCTGATGTGTGGATATTTTGGTTTTTCTTTCACTTCTGTGTTAGTCACCGTTCCCACCACTTAAACTGCACTGGAATTAATTTGTCTTTGGCTTAATTCTAAAATGGAGGAACTTCCCATGGGGACCAGCACTTGAGCCCTGTGGTTTAGCTAAATTGCTGCTTTGCCACTGATTCCCTGGGGAAGGCTTTCTGTGCAGCTCATGTTTTGATGGTTGATCTTGTATGTACTTCCTGCTCTCATGAGGTCTGGTACAACTGGGTTGTGTGGAAACTCTGGTCTGAGCCTGAGTCTTTGCCAAACTGCAACCCCAGCAATTCTATATTCCTGACCAGTCTACAATGAGTGACCCTCTGCTGATTGGAGAGCAGATCATCTGTCTATACTGTGCACCAATGTTCCCCTGTTGGGCCATCTCCCCAGCTGCCCAAACTCCAAACACTTTGCATAGGACAGGCCATGCACTGGTCCCTTTTCATGACTCACTGGCCTCTCAGTGGTTACTTTATTCTGTTGTCTCTGGCTCCTCCTATGTGGGTCCACAGAAACACTGTTAGTGGTCTTGCTGGCCTGAGGGCCACTAAGTCCCTCTTCTCCCTTGCCACTTCCAGGCAACTTCACATGAAGGGCACAGCTGTGGCTTTTGAAATCTCTCACTCTTTGTGTTCACCAGCTCCAGCCTTAAAGTGGCTGGGGCTCAAAATGGTGGGAGCGATCCTTTCTCTCATCGTGGTTTCTCCTGCCTTCAACTCCATAGGTCTCTCCTCTTCCCCCGAGCTCTGGCAGCCCAACCCTGGCTGTCATTGCTTTATACTGGTTGTAAATTGGTTGATTTGTCAGAGTGATGCTGGGGACCATCTGTTCTGCCATCTTGACTGGAAGGCTTACCTCAGAATTTTTGATATTAAATGTCACTTGTTTATATTTTATTAAACTTATTGCCTAAAGTACTTTGCTTCTTACTTTATTCCTACTCTCCTATTGTAGGAGATTTGTAGGAAATTTGTATGGCCATTATTACAAACTGTCTCTTAAGTAAATGTTTTTTTTTCTCTCTCTCTAATATTTGAAGTTTACATGGAGCCAGTCAGTGGGTTGAATAGAAATACTTCCATGAGAAGGCAAAGATCAGGCACATACGTGTTAAGAGATTAAATCAGCAATCATTTAAACTGCTGTGAATAGTAGTGCTTATCATATTCTATTTAGTGAGAAGTAGTGTCTGGAAGGAAGATGTATCCTTTATTCCTATTCCTCATATTTTTAAATGGGACCACATAATGGATACTATTATGTACCATGTGCTTTGTACTTCAGGAATATCTTGTGTTTATATCTGCAGTGATGGAGTGCTATGTTTGTATCTTGCCACAAATGGGACCACATAGTAGATATGATTATGTACCACGTTCTCTGTACTTCAGGAATGTCTTGTGTTTATATCTGCAGTGATGGAGTGCTATGTTTGTATCTTGCCACTAAGAGGGGCAACAGAGTAAATCCCAGCTCCAGTTGTGCATTGCCTTGTGCATGGTTCTTCTTGCACATAGGTCTGCAGACCTAACAATGGCCCAGAGCCTGTTTTCACTGAAGGAGCATCCTGGAGTCTGCAGTGGCCTCTTCTCTGTCCTCAGAAGCCTAGTGAGGGGGAGGAAACCCAGGTCCCAAAGAGGGGTAAATGTAAAACAAAATGGGGTCCAACATAGAACCTAAGGTGTGGCTGAATGCAGGTGTTGCAGGGCCCTGTTGGGCAGAGAAGTCACTTCCACTTGTCACCCTTCTGTCCCCAAATCTGTAGTACCAGTGGGCAGAAACTACAGCACCAGTATTTATCATTCTCTGATCTGTATTTTCTTTTTTCTGTTCTTTAGGGGTTTAGTTTTTCTATCTTTTTCTTCTTTTTTGGTTGGAAAGTTAGCTTTTTGATTTCAGATCTTTTCAAAGTATAGATATTTACAGCTATAAATTTCATTCTAATCCCTTTATAAGTTTTGGTATGTCATGTTTTTGTTTTCAGTCTTAAAATGTTTCTAACTTTTTGTGTGATTTTATGACTTACTGGCTGTTTGTAGTTGTTGTTTAACTTCCACATAATTGTGAACTACTGACATATCCTTCAGTTTATCATTTTCATTTTAAATCCATTGCAGTCAGAGAACTTACTTTCTGTGATTTCAATCTTCACATTTATTGAGGCTATTTTATGGCCTAGTAAGTGATGTTTTCTGGGATCTTTCCATGTGCACTTGAACAGAATGCATCTGTTGTTGGGTGGTCTGTTGTACGTATACATATCTGTAAAGTCCAGTTGCTTTATAATGCTGTCCAGGACTCCTATACCTTTGCTAATGCTTTGCATTGTTGTTCTATCCATTAGTGAAAGTTGCCCTGGATGTCTCCAGATATTTATATGGAACAGTCTACTTCTCTCTTAACTTCTTTCCTAATTATTTTCATTTAAAGTTGGGCTTCTGTGTTTGATGCATGTGTATCTATAATTGTCATGATGTTCTCATGACTGACACTTTTGTCATTTTAAATGCCCCTCTTTATCCCCAGTAACATTTTTGTTTTAATATTTATGTTGTCTGATATTATTATGGCCAGCCAGCATAGCTGTCTTTGGATTCTGTTTACATTGCATATCTTTTGCTATCCATTAACTTTCAACCTATTTGTATCTTTGAATTTAAAGTGTTTTTCCTGTGCACAATATTTAGTTTTTTCTCTGTTGGGTTTTTTTTTTTTTTTAATTCATTTGGGCAATTCCTGCCTTTTAAATTTTTTATTTTCTTTTAATTGACGGATTATAACTATATGTTCATGAGGTACAACATGATGTTTCAACACATGTATACATTGTGAAATGATAAAATCAGACTGATTAACATTCATTATGTCACATATTATTTCATGGTGAGAACATTTAAAATCCACTGTTAGCAACTTTGAAATATACAATGCATTACTGTTAACTATATTCACCATGCTGTGCAGTACATCACAGAACTTATTCCTCCTGCCAAATTACACTTTGTAGCATTTGAACAACATGTCCACATTTACCTTTGACCCTCATCCTATCCCTCAGCTTCTGGTAACCTCCAGTCTATTTTCTTTTTCTCTTAGTTTGAATTTTTTAGACTACATATAAATAAAATCATGTGGTAGTTTTTTTGTTTGTTTGGTTTGTTTTGTGCGCCTGGATTATTTTACCTAATATGATGTCCTCTAGATTTAGCCACCTTGTCACAATTGAAAATTTGTGTTTTCCTAAAGTTGAATAGAATTACATTTTTTATATGCATATTTATTTTATCCATTCATTTGTGTAGTTTTGGTATTGAGCATCTTTGTAGTTTTGATATGTTGCCTGTTGTGAATAATGATGCGGTGAATATTGGAATGGTGACATCTCTGACAAACTGATTTCAATTCATTTGAATACATACTCAGAAGTGGAGTTTTTAGATCTATGGGAGATTTCTTTTTAGCACTCTGAGAAAAATTTATGCTACTTTCCAAAATGGTGTTCTAACTTACACTTCCACCGACAGTGTACAAGTGTTCTGTTTTCTTCACACGCTCATGAACAGTTATCTTTCATCTTTCTGATAATTGACATTCTAACAGGTGTGAAGTGTTCTCATTGTGGTTTTTAAATTGAGTTTCTCAGGATCAGTGGAGTTGAGGATTTTCTTTATACTTCTATTGGTGATTTCATGTCTTTTCAAAAATGTCTATTCAGGTTCTTTGCTCAATTTTTGAATAGAGTTATTTGGGGGGGTGTTATTGGGTACTTTGAGTGTTTTATATGTTTTGGATATTAACCATTTATCAGATGTAGTTTGCAGATATTTACTCTGAGTCTGTGGTTGTCTCCTCACTTTGTTAATTGTTTCAATTTCTGTGCAGAAGCACAGGTTACTCCAAATACCAGTTTGTACATGTGATTTATTTATTCTTATTCAGTGTATTCTCTAATTTCCACTGGATGTAAAAGCTGTTTTGATAATGTATCAAAAATTCATGTCTAACACAGGTGTGATTAACCCCATCTCCTAGATAGAAAAATGAGAATTTGAGTTTTAGGGTTGTTGCTCAAGGTCTCAGGCTTGCTGTAAAGTTGGTCCATCATGCCTTATTCTCTCATTCTTCCATGAAAACCGTGTTCTCTAGCCTGAAAGCCTGGGTGGGCCTCTCATTAACCACATCATGTCACTGACCTACCTGGTGTGGGAGCCTGTCCAGAGGAGAATGCTCTTTGTACTTAATTCAATGTATTTGGGCCCAGGAGGTGCACGCCTTCACTCCTTTCATTGGGTTTATGCACATTGGGGGATTTGAAACCTACCTCAGGTACACAAAACTGAAGACCAGATTGATTGACTTTCTGAACACTCTGAATTTTTCACATATTCCTGGCAAAAGTGTCAGTTATATATCTTGTGCCCATAAGTGAGCAAACTACACATAGCCTCAAGTTACATTTCTTTTTCTAAGTAAACCAGTGGGAACTATAGCATGGAACTGACTGGCTTTGGATTCCAGCTTGTTTACCCTCTTTTTAAAATTCTGAGGGTCTGGTGGGTTCCAGACCCTCTGTACTTATGGCGAGATGGTCTCAGACCTTATCCCTCTGCGTTGGGGGACCAGAATGCGAGAAGTCCAGAGACCAGGGGGTTTGGGAAGCATTCTGTCCCAGGCCACAGGCAGAGTCAAACCAAGGCTTTACCCAGTCTCAGGACCCTAGAAATGTGTAATGGTTCTTCCTTAAAACATTCCTTGGTTCTCCCTAAGATATTTTTTAAGTGTTATTGAAACCAGTCCCCAAAGGAGTCATCATTAGCAATATGTAGTAGTATAACTAACTCCTGGTTTAATTTCATTACATATAATAATTCACAGGTGGAAGAATTGTCTGTACTCATATTACATTTGTGAGTGGGATACTTCTATTTGGGCCTCTTAATGTTTAGTCAGCTGGGCAGCAGGAGACCAATGTGGATTGGAATGTTTGACTTCTCTGTTATCAACACATAATAAATCTAAAGCTGATCACCAGAATATTCACTGGACTAGTCCCCACTCACTACATCAAGGGGTCAAGTATGTTTTGCTTGGTGAATTATGGGATTCTAGATTTGCCTCCTTTGGCAGATCTTTTGAACCACATATAGTATAGCCACTAATTAAAGAATGATAAGAAATCTACCTGTCGCCCTATGAAGTTTTGCAGATTCCACTGTAAAAGCTATTGCTGAGCAACAGCACATTAACATCTCTAGCCAGGGTAGTTTTAGATAATAGAATTGTTCTTGATTATTAGTTCAGGAAGATGTTGTCTATGTTATTGCTAACACTACATGCTGTGACTGGGTAAGCTCTTCTGGGGCAATAGAGAGTCATTTGCATCAAATAAGAGAACAAGCCATAAGAGTACTGCAAGCCTCACCTAGTTCTCCAATATCATTTGATTTATTTAATTGAATGCTTTTAAGTCTAGGTTGATGGCTTACAACCATTACACAACCTGGAATGGTCATGTTGCTGGTATTTTTACTCTGCATTTCACTTTTAAACTATGTACTCATTATTAAATCTGTATAGAAATGCCAATCCTCACAAAACAGTGTTTGTGCAGTGCTGAGATGATAACTAATACCTAAAAGATAGATAAATTAAACTTAAAGATAAAATCTAGACAACCCAGGCTGAAAAGGAACTGTTTCAAGCCTCTTCCTTTCTCAAATGCGATTAAAAGGCTCCTGGCACTGACTTACAGAAGTTCATTACCCCCATCTTGAGACCAGATCTGCTGACTGGAACATGTTCATCCCAGAATCAAGGTACACATAAAATCTGACATTGGACTTATTTATCAATGATGATTTCAAATAAAGCTCTTGATAAGAGAAGAAAACGTAAAAGTTGATGGAATTAATTTCCGTAATACACAGAAAAAATAGAGCCAGAAGAGGCACAAAAGAGGGGGACTCATGTTTGCCTGTCTGAGGTAAGAATTTTTCCCACGGACCTTCTAAAAACTCATCAGAAATCTCTTCACATCTTCCATGCATCTCCAGCTTTGTACAAACACACAGTTCTGTAACAAAGTTGATCATTAGACTTTTTTTTTGCCATGTCAGATAAATGCTCCAAAAACAAACTGCCCAATAAGGGCATCTCAACCAATGAACTGATGACAAATCTGACTCTGAGACTCCAAAACCAATGAACTGTTTCCAAGCAGCTTATGTGAACTTTTCCCTTATGCCAATAAAAACTTTCTCGCACCCTTCCCTCACAGAATGCCTCCATGGCTTGTCATGGTGTCCATTCCAGATTTTAATCCAATTTTATATTCTTGAATAACCTCAACGTATTTGGAGATTATTGTTCTCTACTGCATCTTTTTCTACGTTAACAGAAAAGTACTGTAACATCTTAAATGCCACATATGACAACCCCAAAGTTAATACCATCCCCAGTGGTGAAAAGTTAAAAACTTTTCCTTGAAGATCAGAAAAAAGATCAAGATGTCCACCCTCCCCACCTTTATTCATTATAGTACTATGATTTTTAGCCAGAGAAGTTGGGGGAACGGGAGGTAAAAAGCAACCATATAAAAAATTTGGACTATATGATCTATTTTCCTATTAATACAGTGATACAAATCAGGACTCCAAATAAGTGTTTCCACTACAACGCTTCTAGCATTTATATATGTAAATATTCTGGAACATATGCATGTTGTAATTCAACATTTTTTACTCAAATTTATGTAGAAAAAATACACAATTACATTTCTTGTGTTATACTGTTCCAGAAATGGTTCCAAATGACAAACCTTCAGGTATCCACACCCTCATGTAGTCCCCTCTGACTACAAGGGCTTTGCTCTTGGACTTGCTTTGGTCAAGAGGACATCAATAAATGTGATGCAAACATACATTTAAGAAGTACCTGCTACTAGAGCCTGCATTCTTGGAAGCATGTATATTAGGATGAAGCCTGGGGCTATTCTGTTGGAGAAAAAACATCTAGCCTAGAGTCAGCATACACAGGACATGTAGCAAACCCATCTTGAACCAACCAGCCTCAGTCAAGGTGCAAGGTGCCTACAACCTCATCCGTATTCCAGACAACACCAGCAGAGGAATTTCCCAACTGTGCTCAGCCCACATTCTGATCCATAGAAAGATGATTAAATTAAATGATTCTTTTAAAGCCAATACATTTTTGTTGATTTCTTACACAGGAAGGGCTGATTAAGCATATGAAAGCCAATATTTTTACCCATTTGAAGAGTGCAAGAGACCTTTTTCGATTACATGCGAAATTTACTAAGTAGAAATTTAGAATCAAAAGTAGAAGTTTTGAAAACCACAGAAAAATCAACTTAATGAACTTCAATGTAGTTGAAGCTATGTGCATAAAACAAAAACAATTTCCTGAAGATTAAAAGAACATGTCTTAAGTTTCTTACATCATAACATTCTGATACTTACATGGGAACACTGTACAGTGCTTTAGTTTTTGTGGGTTTTGAGCAAATGTCATGCAGTCTGATTTTCCCATTTCAAATGATGTAAAATAGGATTATTATTTTTGTGCACAATTTATGATTTTTAGGAACAGATAACTGACATTAGGGAAAAACACTTGTTATCAAACCTTTATATTCAGATAATCTCCAGAAAGTGTTAGGATTAAAAATAGATATGGATGTTTAAAATAAGGCATTGTAAAGCAATGTGTGTAATTTGACTTCAATGTAACGAAATGATCTCAAGTTGACTTCACTGTCACAAAAATTATTGTAAAAACAAATGCTTGTTTTGTGTTAATTGTGGCAAAATTGAAAATACAAGAGCATAAAGATCTCAGGATGGATGGATCACAAGCATATCTCTAGATGCCAAATTGGGTGATAGACTAGCTTTAAGAGATCTCAAGCTCTAAAAACAATCACTGAGGGGAAATTTCTAAAGTAGAAGTGTGAAAATTAAAAATAAATAAAATAAAATAAAAATAGAAGAGTGTTTAGAGAGCAGTGTAAAGAGATTGTCTCAGGTATGATAGGGTATCAATGTGCCCCAATCCACATCTTCAAGACCCCTCCAATAAGTAACATTTTCTATGTTCTTATCTATCATTATCAGTCAGACTCACCTCTCCCTTCTGTAAATTGGTTCAAACCTTCCAATATCATCAAGTCATTTACAGCTTCCAGAAAATGTATATCACTCAGCTCTTGTTCACTGCAGGCAATAGGATCAATAATTGCTTGGGACATGGAAAGCCAGGGTCTTGTGCTTTCTGGAACTCTTTTGGCTCTGCTCTGAAATGTTAGTGAGAGGGTTCAGGCCTTAAAAGTGTTCTTTCATGTCAAAAGTCTATTTATAAGGTGCGTTCCTTCAAACTTTGTAAACCTCCTTTACTTTAAAGAAAACCAGACCATCATCTAGTACCCAAATTTCTCTCCTAGAAGCCACTGTCCTGGGGAACTAGGTCCTGTATGAACTTCTGTAAACTCAAACCAGGAATGCTAGGCAGGCTGCACAGTACCAGAGGGGAACAGAAATTTCACTTGCTGGATAGACACCAAGAAACCCCATAAATACAACTGCCATATAGTAACTTGTGGTCTAAACACACTTCACAATTATTTCTGTGTGAATCCAGGGACATTTCCCTAGTACTGTTAATACACTCATCAACTTACACCTGGGTGAAGTGAATGTTATTTAGGCTAGTAACATTGCCCATATCCTTCAGTGTCAGAGCTGTAATGTGAAGTCACACTACAGACCTCCCACATGCACACTTTCTGAAAAATCCTTCCCCGATTCATTTGCTCAGCTTCAGGAACCAGGTTTTGTACAACTAGACAAAAGCGCCTGGTGTCCTGGCAGCGCACCTTCTTCTGATAAAGCAATCACTGAAAGCACAGCTCAAGCGACTCCTTTCACAGACCCAGATCTGCACACCCCAATGCTAGTGTTGGCCACCTGGCCTGGCCTGGACCCTCAGCTCACAATGGCATGTCAGGTCTGGCCCAAACAAGATCCACCAAAGTTTCTACTTCACCAAGTGGTGGGACACAGATACCACTCACCAGGGTTCCCTGAGGTCCTCAGGGGCTCCTCTTCCATTCTCACACTTAACGTTAGAGACACAAAACCCAAACCCACAGCCTACAGAGCAGCGTCAGAGAGCTGCAGGGTCTGAAATGTCCTGGCAGAAGATGGTGAGAATGGATGAAGCAGTACATGTGCAGAAGAAATACGAAAGATCTTTTTCATGGTCTTCTGCTGGTGATGTTACTGAAGAGAACACATTTCCACAGGCCTCTGCTCTGGTCTGTACTCACATGACAGCATGTGAAATTCTGCTTCTTTATTAAATCCTGGTTTGACAACCTGACACATTGTGGGTTGCATGGGGGAAATTTGAATGTGGGTAAAGTAGTTGATGATATCTAACATTAACTTTTTTTTTATTTGTTTAAAGGTATTGTGGTTGTAAAACCCACATGTATTTTTTTTTTTGCAGTCTATTCTAATGCAAAAAAGAAGTCTCCAGTTTTTCTCTTAGTTTGTTAACAATCAGGTAATTAATATAACTCTCTTCTAATCTACTATAAAAATGTTTCTTCTCACCAACTAAACTAAATTGTGTGTCTTCAATGGATTATATTACTCAGTGAAAACTCAGCTCTAGTGGATACTGCATATTAGAATAAAATACCAGGGGTATAGGGAAAGTACACTTCATAATTCTTGTTCTAATTTACATGCCAGTTTCTAAAAATTATTTGCCCAGACTCTCAAGTTCCATCCACCTGTCCATCTATCCATCTACTAAATCTTTACTTATTATTTTTTTTTTGGGGGGGGAACCTGAGCCTTGTGCTTCCTTCCCTGATTTATGCCAGAAACTAGGCAAAGTCTCTCACACAAGGGTTTCTCAGAGCTCCTGCTACTACTACTCTTCATCCTCCAACAGGGACTGTGTGAGTTATCCAGGTTGATGTGGATGCATGTAAAATGAAGATTAGAGTAAGAAAGGAATGATGTTTCAGGGTGAGGGAGTAAGGGGTGTGAGAGCGGTGACTCTTGCTTAACACTGATCCCTGGTTTTCTATTTTTCTAATGTGGATGGATGTTCAGTCATGTTTTAATTCCTGTGTTTTGTCTGATCCTACAATTGCCCCTCAGTGACTCCCCTACCAATCTAGGCAACTCAGTCTTGATCTCCCCAGAGCCATTTTGACTCAGACTTTATCACCTAAAGCCTCTCTTCCTCAGACTCCTGGATCCCAGGCTCTAACTTAAAGATCTATTGATGTGATATCTGCTCTTTGTTAAATACATGATGATTGACAGGTGTTAAGTGGGAGTGAATCAGCGACTGATAGTCTATCCTCTAATATGGAGTGTCATTTTCTCTTTGTGGTCCTCAGTCTTCTGTCCATAATTTTGAGTCAGTAATAAACATTTGGATGGTAGACATTATAATATTTATATATCATTTTTCATCTTCAGTTCCTCACTCATGCTACTCTCTTACCCTTTCCTGCTTTTTTTTCTTACCTGCTCCTTTTTCTCCCTAGGACAGGAAGTCCCCTGACCCATCTTAGCTGATCAAAGGTGATAAGAGCCCCATTTCAGGAGGAGCTCTGCCCCATGCCAGAGAGGAAGGAATGCTGCACAGAGAGGTCAAAAAGAACCTGAACAAATAGGTCTTTTTGGATTTCCCCACCTAGTCTGTTAGTGTTAGATCATACCCTTTTGGTCCAATCACATTTCTACATGGTTGTCCATGCTTCAATCCTACCTACATAATGAAGCTTCTATAACAACTGAAGAACACAGGATTAGAAGAGCTTCCAGATAGCTGAACACGTGGAAGTTCCTGGATGGTGACCAGCTGGGGAGGTCATGGAGGCTCCACACCCCATCACCCATACCTCCTCCTATGCATCTCTTTGTCTCTGTGCTTTGTGATATTCTTTATAATAAACCAATTAGTGTACATACATGTTTCCTTGAGTCCTTTGAGTAAGTGAAGCAACCTAATTGAACCCAAGGAAAAGGTTGTGGAACCCTAATTTATAGCTGTTTGGTCAGATGTTTTAGAGGCCTGGACTTGTGACTGGCAGCCAAAGTGAGGGGATATCTTGGAGACTCAGCCCTCAACCTGTGAGATGTATTGCTATCTCTAGGTAGGCTGTGTCAGAATTGAATTGAATCGGTGGACACTCAGCTGGTATCTTCTGCACAATTGCTTGCTTGCTTGATAGTGGGGAGAAACCCCCACACATTTGGTCACAGATGTTGGTCTTCTGTGTTGATGATCGTGCTGTGAGAGCAAAGGGAAAACACATTTTCTGTGTGTGTTTTATTTTTTCCTATTCAGATGAGAATATCTGAGCCAATATTTAATGATATAAAGACCAAGAATGCAATCCCTTTCCTCACTCTGGGAAGGTGACATCCTAAGAGCCAAGGAGAGTAGGCTCAGAGATGATATCCAGGTGTTTACACACTAGTCATATATTGAAGTGGTCAATTTAGACATTTTTCTTCAAGTTATTCCTAAGTATTTCACTTTTGATACTATGACAACTAGAATTGCATTCTTAATTTTATTTTTCTATTGTTCATTTACTGTGTAAAGAAATACAACTATTTTTTGCATATTGTTCTTGTATCTTGTTACTTTTCTAAACTCATTTATTAGCTCTAAGAGTTTTCAGTGAATTCCTCATGATTTTCTAAATATAAGATCATGTCATCTGTGAATAAAAATAATTAAAAAAATTTTCATACGAGGTATCTTTTATATGATTCTGCATTTTTTATTTTTTAAAAATATATATTTAACAGTAGCTAAATGGTTCTGACTAGTACCTTAAGTAAAATTACAAATAGATGTGGTGTAAGTGGATACATTTATCTTGTTTTTATATTTAGAAAATAAGGATACAGACTTTTACCATTGAGGATAATGTTAGCTGTGAGGTTTTATATGCCCTTTATCAATTTGAGAATGGTCTTCTTTATCCTTACTTTGTTTAGTGTCTTCATCATCAAAGAAAGTTGAATTCTGAAAAAAATGTATTTTCTTTATCTATTTAGATGTTTGTGATCTTGTTAATTATTTTATTGATAAGGTATTTAATATTAAAAGATTTGGGGCTGTTAGTTAACCTTATATTCCTGAAGTGAATCCAACTTGGTCAGAGTATAATTATGTTTATGTGTTGCTGGATTCTGTTTGTTTGTAATTTATTGGAGATTGTTACATCTACATAAGACATATTGGTGAGAACGTTTCTTTTCTTATGAGGTCTTTGCATGGTTTTGTTATCATGATAATATTGGTCTCATAAATTGAATTGCGAAGTATCTCTACCTCTTCTGTTTTTTGGAGAGTTTAGGAAGAGTTGAGAGTAAATCTTTCCAAAGGTTTGGTAGAATTCATCTGTAAAGTTTCTGGATATGGGCTTCTTTTGGTATAGGAAATTCAACCGTATGAATAATCTTATGGAAATTGAGTAAATACTTAAATAAAGGCAGAGATTATCCGGTTTGATTAAAAAATAGACTTACCTATATTCTACCCACAGAGAAGCACATTAAATACAAAGACACTGAGTGAAAGGAAAACTACTTTTAAAAAAGTAGGTGTATACTATACAAAGTCTATGAACTAAAAGTTCAAGTTGAGGTCTTACTACCAGACAAGGTAAGCTTCAACACAAAATGTACTACCACAGATAAAGAGATTTTTCATCAAAATAAATGTATCTTACATGTTATAGTGATTATAAATGTGTAAGTGCCTAAAAACAAAGCTTCAAAAGACATTTAAATAAACTCCAAGGAAATAATCAGGAAATACACACAAAAATCCACAGTTACAGTTGTACAATTAATATTCTTTTCATTAATATATGAGACCACCAGATGAAATATCAGTAAGAATGCAGACATGAATGACACTGTCCTGACCTGACTGACAACTGTAAAGTACTACATGAACAGTCACCCAGACAGAACATATGCTAACTGATAAAACAAGGCTCAAGATTGACATCTTATAACTTGTTTTCTCAAATTAAACAAAACAAAATAAAATTGGAAATCATCAAGAAAAATAAATCCAGAAGAGCCTCAAATTTTTTAAAAATTAAATACACTTCTAAATAATTTGTGAATAAAAGAAATGTCAAAGGAAATAAGAACATATATTGATCAAATGTATTGTAACAATGACATTTGTGATAGATTAAAGGCAGTCACAAATTCTTTCCCATTCCCATTTTTGAGATAAAAAGTAACTTCCTTTAAATGTGAGCTGCCCTTAGCAACTTGCTTAGCCAACAAAATCTGACATATTAGAAACATAATACACACTTTCCCATAAAAGTGCCCGCTCTAAACATGTAAAGGTAAACAGGGAAATTCTAACCTCTTCTTTATCACCTTTTTTTTTCTTATCTTGTTAGTAAAACTTTACCCTGTCTGCTTTTAAGTGATCTTCAGGACTTATGCCCTTCACCAGCCTGAGAGCCACATAATGAGGAGTAGGAGGAAGAACCGAGTGTGGGAAAGAAGCAGATTGGAGAGAGTCCACAAACCAAAATTGATAAGAAAGAGACAGTGATGGGGCAATAAAGAGCTTTTGATGTGTTCTGATCACAGCCTGCAGGTCCTGGAGCCCCAATGCCTCATTCAAACCAGATGGTAATACACAAGTCAAAGAGGGAGATAGGGCTTAGTTTTTTTTAAAGGGTGGCATTAAGAGAGTTAGGGTGAAGGTGATGAAGAAAAGAGTTCTGAAAAGAAGAGGACAGAAAGGTCCTAATAAGGGTTGAGCCAGCACTTTTTGTGGCACATCTGAATTGGTCCAAGTTGCCCTGCACTCTCAGGCACCTGAGGCTCCACTCTTATTTTACCTCATTGTCAAAACATACTCATGGTGACCTCACTCCCCTAATTATATTTTATAATGTGTGCCAGTACATTTGGGCTGAGATCTTTATTCCAGGCCTTGGACCATGGAGCAGTGAGCAATTGCAGCACAGAACATGCAAGAGAGTATCACAACCACCCCCACACACATACGCACACACACACATGCACACATGCAAGCAGAGTAGGAAATAAGACCTTCCACCTTAGTAGGCAGATATGTGTGATTACCACATTACAAGGAACTGGATGAACATATTTCAAAGGCAAAAATAATGACCAAGAATAACTTGTGGGTTTCAAGTATTTTTGAAATTCAGGCCATGGTAAGAAATACATTTTATATTTGAACTCAATACACACCTGTACAGTCTTGAACAATGGAAGCACATTTTTACACACAAAAATCTCTGTACAAAGTGTGATACTGTCTGATGTACTGTTACATTATATTTTATTTCAATTAAAAATTCGTCAATGATATGACCTGTTGTTTTGTTTGTTGTATCTTTGTCTAGATTTAGTGTCTACAAAAATTCTTAGTAAAATACTAGATAATAGAATACAGCAACACATACATGAAATCATACACCATGATCAAGTGGGATTCACCGCAGGGATGCTAGGTTGGTTCAACATATGCAAATCAGTAAATGTTATACACCACATCAAAAAAATCAAAGCCAAAAGATGTGATTATCTCTATAAATGCCAAAAAAGCATTTGACAAAATTCAACATTCGTCTATGATACTCTATAAATTGGGTATAGAAGGAAAGTATCTCAAAACAATTGAAGACATATAGGACAAACCTACTTCAAATATCATTCTGAATGGGGAAAAGTTGAAAGTTTTCCCTTAAATTAGGAACAAGACAGGGATGCCCGCTTTCACCACTCCTATTCAACATAGTGTTGGAAGAACTAGGCAGAGCAATCAGGGAAGAGAAGGAAATAAATGGCATCCAGAATGGAAAAGATGAACTGAAATTGTCCATCTTTGAAGATGATATGATCCTATATACAGACCAGCCTAAAGACTCTACAAAAAACTCCTAGACTTGATAAATGATTTCAGCAAAGATGCAGGATACAAAATGAACATGCAAAAATCTAGCATTTTTATACTCCAGCAATGAACTAGCAGAAAAAGAAATCAAGAAAACTAGCCCATTTACAATAGTCATCACCAAAAAAATTAAATACCTAGGAATAAAGTTAACCAAGGATGTGAAAAATCTATGACAAGAACTACAAACCACTGTTGAGAGACATTAAAGAGAATACAAGAAGATGAAAAGCTATCCCATGCTCTTGGATTGGCAGAATCAACATTTTGAAAATGTCCATACTACCCAAAGTGATCTACAGATTCAATGCAACCACCATCAAAATTCCAATGACATTATTCTCTGAAATGAAAAAAAAGAAAATTCTAACACTGATATGGAATAATAAAAGACCCCCAAATAGCCAAATCAATCCTGAGCCAAAAAAGTAAAGCCAGAAGCACAACACTACCTGACTTGAAACTATACTGTAAAGCTATAGTAACCAAACAGCATGGTACTGGCATAAAAACAGACACACACACTTCTGGTCAAGATAGCAGAATAGACGGTCCCCAGCATCACTCTCTCTCACAAATCAACCAATTTGCAACTATGAAAAAGCAAGAACAGCCAAGCTGGGGCCGCTAGAGCTAAGGGGAAGAGGAAGAGAGACCTACAGAGTGCATGAAGGTGGGGGAAGCCATGATGAGAGAAAGAACCTCTCCTATCATTTTGAGCCCCTGGTACTTCCAGGCTGGAGCTGGTGAGCACATGGAGCAGGACCTGGCAAAAGGTGCAGCTGTGCCCTTTGTATGAAGTTGCTTAGAGGCAGTAGGGAAGAAAAGGGCCTTGGTGGCCCCCATGCCAGCAAGACCACTAACAGTGTACCTGTGGACCCACATAGGAGCGAGGAGCCAGAACAACTGAAAAAAAGGAGCCAATCAGAGGACAGCGAATCATTGCAAGGGAACAGCACACAGCCCATCCCATGGGAAGTGTTTGCAG